AGAGCGAATGGGAAATTTATTTACAAAAATTACATATTTTTAAGCGACCCATGGACATTTTTGTCAAACAATACATTTTTATATAGAAAATTTAAATGTATAGTAAAGAAAAGTAATTACAGTCATAAGAATCAAATATAAGGCGATTGCATGACATTTTTGAAATATTCGATGTAACCTAACATAATTGCTCGAGTGAAATGCGTTCACAATTGTGGGAACCGGCATTAATCATTTAGKACCCACATTAAAATTAATATAATTAGCAGCGCTAATATTCACCGCTTTGGTGTTCACAAAAGAATTAAGCCAACCAGTTGGATAGAAGCCATCAAATTGCATTTATAGTATGTTGGTTTGAGGCATTAACTTTCAATTAAAAATGTTTTCGGTCTCCCTCATATTCTAATATTTGACCCAATTACTGCTTCGAGAGTTTAGTAATTAGGAACGGAAATACTATTGGAGATGTGGGACAAAAATATAAAATTGAGAAATTGTTGTGGTATAGATTTTATACAATCATTCATACAATGTACTATGTAATGCAGTGAAAATTGTATTTACGAATAAATTTAAGGCTGCCTACTCAATGTCTAGTCAATGAGATGCCCGCTTAATAGAGCGTCCATTTAATAGAGCTTTCACTTTACTTTTTTATTCATGGATTGTTTTTATTATCCTATCTTTTAAGTAGTTCGAACTGGACACAGTGTGTTAAATTTTGTTGAAATTGGTTCTATAGTTTATGAGTCCATCGCGGACAAACAACGTGACACATAATTTTTATATATTATATAAAGATATACTCCTATATTAATGTTTCAAATATTTTAAAACCCCTTCTCTTAGAAGAAAAATACTGCGCTCATATTTGCAAACGCTTAGTTACTTAATTTTGAGTATGGATTTACAATAATCGCTTTAGAAAGTTATCTAGGACGATCCCCTTTATTTCCAAACGACTTTTAGTACGAAATCGCTAAAACTTTCTGCAGATGATAGTCTTATTCTTTGGTGAGCTCTTGTTGGTTAGCAAGCGTAACAAGAATTCAACTGGATGTAATTTTATCCTATTTCAAAACTTCATTTCTAGGAAACAGTATAAACGCAACAAATTGCATTCCATTTATAWCCTACGGTTACCTTCTGTCACTACAATGCAAGGTTGCTTGCATTACAGACTGTATCGAAAATTATAAAGAAAATAAGTGAGAGCCAAGTTCGGGTAAAGCCGAACATTACATACTCTTGCAACTTCCAAGGATTAAAGGTAAGTAACTTCCAGTACATAAGACTCCTTAGTTATATGGGATCTAGAGCGAGTTTTTACCCGACTTTATTTATTCTAGGCACAAATATGCACCGTTAAAATAAAAACATGCTCTTTCAATTTTATTAAGTTAACTCACTTATTGACTGATCTATGCGGTATTAAGTCGACCGGAAGTTCGAACATCTTTATATTATTGACCCAATGCAATCCATTTTTGACACACAGATTCTCTCAGGAAAGAATTCTCTCTGAAAAAGTCAACTGCATGCACTGGGTCCACATATTTAATTCCTAGGAGCATGAGAATTTTTAGTGCAATTAGGAAAATTTTTGCCATAAAGTGAAACACCTCAAAGGCACTATTCGTGCAAAGTTTTATCGTAATATATTAATTTTTCTTTCCCAGCATAGAGGGAAAAGAAGGCATCACATGGAACTGAAAATTGTGATATATCAGAAGTGGGCGTAGCGTTACTCCAATTTCACCCATTTTCATACTGTAGCATAGGAATATTAGAAATTGTCACGCACTCAATCGATCGTACGTTTCCGAGATATGTGATTTCCCCTAAAAGTTTGCAGTGCCACGCCCATGGTCCAATTTTTACACCGGCTCCTAAAAAGCTCTCGCATACCATTGGGGAGATTAAATTTAATGTCTTTAGCGTATTTAGTTATTGATTTATCACGCTTTTAGTAGTTTTTAACAGTACCTTTATATGGGGAATGGGCGGGGTTATCATCCGATTTCATCCCCTTTTGTACTGGCGTTACTAGTTTTTATAATATTTTAGCTGTGTGAGCTTATGTCATGGTTATTATGTTATGAGTTATGGTTTAGGAGATATGTACATTAAACATGTTACAGGGCGGGGCCAAGCCCACTTTTTGAAAATTTTTTCCCCATAGGTACCCATTGCTAAATTATTAGGAAATTTTTTCCAAATTGAATCATTATTAAGAGCTTTCCATCTCCTGGGTGATGTATTCTAATTTTTTGGTTTTAGAATATTTTTGAGAAGAGCAAACACTTTTGAAGTCAACGTAGGTGTCGAACACCCAAAAAAAATTAAAATTTTACCCTTTTAAGCATMTTCAGAACTGCTAATCAAATATGTCCAAACCTTCACCACTTTTGCTGTCAAGAGGCCCGGAGGCAGCCACCAGTTCAACATAGGCACAACTCAGCCCATATATATGTATGTACGTATGYATTTATGTAGCTTGCTTATGAGCTCTTTTGCTTACATATTGTTTTTATTTGTACAAATCCGGATAAGCACTTTCGCTTTATTGTCTATATTTTCATTTCCTGCGCTCCTTTGCATTCATTTTGCATTTATTTTCAGCGCCAGGCGGCATTTCTCCCATTCTTGTTGTTGTTGTTAGTAGGTTCGCCGGATATGTTTTCATATAAGAATAAGTAGAGCAAATTACTAAGGCGTAAGGAGCCTATGACTTCACACATACATACACACAATATTTTGTGCGATTACGTATAGTAATGTTGCATAGGGCGTATAGGTTACATACGCCTTTAGCTTGACAATCTCACTCTAAATAATAGCGCATTTCCGCTAACAAATAAATGTCTTAGGGCAGATTGAAATCGCACATGCGGAAAACATCTAATATTTAGTCGAATTAGAATATAGTATCGTACGTAGGAATTGGCTGGCTCGTTCGCATATATCACTCATTCTCTAATGCCGTCGCCCGCATTTCAGTAATTCCAATCATTGTAATGAGCGAAGTTGTAGACCATGAAAAGCTCACAATGTATTTATGAAGTCAATTTTCCTGTTTCAAATGACCGAGTGCTTGATGAAATTACCCAGCTTTTACATTGCAAGTGACGCGAGTAAGTCCGCCTAATTATGTATCCACGATGAAATGTGAATCAAGGTAAGCTGAGAGAGTATGAATGGATTTTTGGTATTACCCTATGCTGTGAAGATGGACTGGCTCGAAAGAATTTCACAAATTTGTAATTTATATTGTGTCTAGCCCGCATATAATAAATAGATTTTCATCGATGTACCATCTAATCGAAATTGACCCGGACTTCGAAACAGGCTCCTGAGCCAGCTATCAATCTTATTTTCCATATGTGTACGTACTTGTTATAAGTCTCGACTCACTCGACCTCACCACCTTCAGCAAATTTTAATTTTTTTTTTTTTGGTTTTTGGTCAGTTCCGACATCATATTCATAAACTCATGTCTCGTTACTAGTAATGATGCATTAAGTGAATGTAGGGTTCTGGCGAAGTAGTCAAGCATATCTTTGGAACCTCTACTCGATGTCGTTTTATAAAATATTTAGGAACGAGTTAAGAATTGACACGCTTTATATCCAAAACAAAAACCTTTTTTTGTTAATCGATCCAAGAGATATTTGTAAATCCTCTGCTATCTCTCTGATGACCGCACAACAAATTTCAGACACTGTTTCTTAAACTTTTTCGCTATTGTCGGCTTTAACAATAGTGAATGGATGAATCGCATGAGACAAATTTTCGAAGATTTCATGCCTCTTTCTGGATCTGGATGGGTCGTAAAAATAAAAAACTGAGAAATCGCTCCTCACAGTTTCTGCTCAAGCGCCCATATACTTACTAGACGCTCAGCCACTATTTCCCCTTTAGCTTCGGTTATTTCGAATTCCCATGTATAAACTTGGGATGTATAATTTTTTAAGAGATTTAAGCAAAAAAAGAACGGAAGAATCCCTTAAGGGAGTACTTGTCTTCTACACCTTCGTCTTTAAGCGATTTAAGTTAGCGCTATTAAATTTCGACTTAAAGGCTTGTTCTTCCTCGCCCACTTACTCTTACAACCGAGCATAATTCACCTTAAATAGCATTCAAGTGCAATCACGATAGATACGGATGCAATTGCAAAGCTCAAAAGCACAAACCATCCACAAAAGAGTACCAGGCGATGAGTTAACGAAAATTGGAAAGCATTAGGAGCGAGCAAGTGGTTCCTGACCAACAGCAACAACCGTCGCTATAGTACCCGTGTTACCCATTCGGCCTGCCTGCGCCATCTGGTRCTATCGTTTCGTACGTCGCAAAGGCTACTGGAACACGCACACCTGTGCCACAAGTGTTGTTGCGTCGATTTGCATGCATTGATAGCAAGCAAAATTGCATGAGATTGTAGTGAAAATAGCGAAATGTTGCAAAAATTGCAACACAATTGCTACTGCCACCAGCTGGCGGCAAGGGCTGCAATGCTGATTTCGGGACCGTGCTTTATACCTTGCATGGCATAATGAAATGCAAAGCAATGCAAACACTTGTCGAATACAAATAGGGTCATGAATTCCTGGCATTACTTTCAAAGGCTTCCGGTGGCAAGGGAGTTACTCGTAATACATGAGGCGCATTCTAATTGAAGGCCGGACAGAAAAAGTCACTTATGTCAAAGCATATCATTCGAAGCGTTTGCATTGATTTGCTTTCAATTGAAAGGGTGGCAACGCTTTTGCCTGAAGCACGGTCCGCAAGTACTTGACTGGCTACCGAATATGCCAATTGTCGCTTGAAGCGGCCCGAAGAGGAATGACTACAGGCAAATGCTGTGAGCGGAAATTTTTTAGGTGAGTCAGGCGACCCAGATTTAGTCCTGAGAACGCATAGAGACCATATCCCTGAAAATGTGTTGTACTCCCACTCCGTTAACCAGCATTTAATAGAAGAAAAATAATAAATCACCATTTTTAGACAAATTCAATTCAATTTATTTGCATCGCTGTCAAATTTCAAAGCGCAAACTCAAATTATCTGTTTCAAATGAGCAGGAAGCCGCAGTTCAATTACTCTTTGTAATCGAAGATCTTATATGCGTATTGTAGTAATTTCTGCAGATCGATATTATTGCGTTTCAATACGTTAATCGGGTACCTTGTGGAGATAGAGCTCTGAAAATTAATTGTTAAGCAGCTACCAATGAGGATTTATTTTTTACAGGAATACTTACCAGTAGCCTCTTGACATCGTAACGGCAGCCGCTGCTGCGCAACACGCGACAGAAGTTGGCAAATTCCCTACTCTCATGCATCTTACGCCGTATCAAATGGCGAAGCTTCGAAGGTGGAATTGCACTCACCAAATTCTTAGCGACATCCTGCATAGATCGTCCCACTATGATCTTCGGCATGTCTAATTCAGTAATCTCCGATTCATCACCATATTCGGGTATCGAAACCATCAGGCAATTGAAAATGTTTGAAATGCTGGAGATGGTTTCCGTGCTAACGCCAGCATCGGAAAAGCGCTTAAGCAGTTTCTGATAAACGGAACTATCGGCAATTTGCTGCGACACCGATTGGAATTGGTCGGTTTTGATGAATTCCATGGCCTTGCGRAATTCCTTGTCCTTATAATAGCCATAAGAGATGTAGTAGACCAAAGTGTTCGCATCAATCAGATTGCGTATGTCACGGAAATCTTGGCAAAGTTGATAGGTGCCAGTGTCTTCGCACTCGTTCAACGGCTCAAAGTAGACTTTGCGATGGGCCTCACCCTGTGAGATCCACAGACAAAGGATGAGTAGAGTGAAAATTTTCAACATAACGGATAGTTCGTAGACAATTTCTAGAAAATGTTACAAGTCTATGCGAAGTACGATTGCACTTTGTTGAAAGCAAGCACCGTCAGTACTATTTATACAGCCAGAAAATCACAGCAGACCAATGCGCTTGCAATCCGAACTACCGTCGATACGTTACATCTGTAATTACCGTAGGCAAAGTGCAATTACATTTCTTATCTAGTTGTTTTCCCCACTGGTATGCACTTACAACTCGTTAACTGTTTATGTGCTGCATTGTGCCTATGTTTGCGCGCTCGCTTTGAAAGATACATACATGTATTTATCAGTAAAGTAGCAAGCGAGTAAGTCCGCTCAACATCCTACTATTGACTTTGTTGTCGTGTACCAGAAGTGTGATGTGTGCATGGAACTAATGATATCTGGCGGCCTTAAGTAATTGTCTCGCTTATCAGCAATAGAAAGAATGCATTGCACTCGCCGCTTCTGGCAGTGTCARTGAAGAAAATGACGTGTATTAATGAATTGTGAAGGAAACCAGGAAGCAGAAAGGAGAAATGTATGTTTAGCACTCTGTAGTGATATTGTAATGGATTAACATTTCGGGTAAAACTTTCGTTGAAAATACGAAATTTAATAAGTTTTCTCACTTTCAAACTGTAAACCATTTTGATAACGATTCCTTTATAAACCCATGGTAGTTGTGTTAACAGCACTTAACCTCCCAAAAAGAATTGATATGCTTTCAAGTTGACAATCCTGCGGATTAAAATTCGAATTCATTTGAATTACTATAAATATAACTGATTGTCGTGGGAAGGCTAATRGAAAAACCTTATTTGTTGTTAGCGAAAACCGGAAATTGCACACAGTTCTTACTCCTTACGCTCTTCAAATGAGTTTATTCAATATAATCTTTATTGTTTAACTTCCTTGAAATAACGTAATCTAACCTTTCAGAATTGTTGCAGCTGAGAACCCAATATTTGCTTGTTGTCCAGGTCTATTTCGGAAAGCTGCTTGAAACTTTTTTCTTACCAATAGAATCCTGGTTCCATATTTGAATAGCATAAAGCATGCAGAGAAGGTCGTGAAGTGATTAAAAACTTGCCTCAAGTGGGTCGTCCATCCACTTCTTYAATAACATCAAAATCGAATAAGTTAAAGAAATATACTTGAAAAACATCSTGTTGCCAACAGAAGAATAAAAGACAATCTAAACATCAACCATAGATGTAGTTAACAACTTCTTTTAAAGTTTTGAATATTAAGCGCCTGATTCTCTTGCAAAACCACGAATAAGAGTCGAATAATAGTCTAAAAGATATCGTTCACCACACC